CCATATACAGTAAATTATGTTATTAAACTACCGCAGTCGACATACGGAAATCTCTCAGAGAAAATATATTCCAAAAAATACATAATTAAAGAATAAATTAATGCAGGTATCTACCAAGAATGCAAAAAAAACTGTTGAATAAATATATACAATGATTACACTCCAAAACAGGAAATGATGGAGTACAATGTTAGGTGTTGATTATCATCGAAAGAACTTTACTTCTTTGCGCTGTAACTAGCTGTCACGTGCTCGTAAACACGTGGACTGAATGGCAAGCCACGTCTGATTACTTTTCAATATTGCGACGACCGATAATGGGCTCGTTACGAGTATTTGTCGGCGGATAAACGAGCTCCATCGCGTTGCTCTATATTTTCACGCGAACGCGTGCGCTACATTCAAATCCCTTTGTTTGCATTTTCACGCCGAAATACTCAAATTATAGTTTGTATAAAAAGTATTTATTAAATTGTAGTAAACAATGTTTCTAATTATTTATTTAATTGGAATGATCAACGTTTCTAATCATTTCTTACGTTAGAGATCAATAATTATTGATAATAGTAACTGTCAAAGACAGCTTGTAGCTAAAATTATTGTAGGGTGCTGTCCAAAAAATTTTCAGCTTTTGTTGCAAAATTGTATAAAAGAAATAAATTATGTATAAAAAGAAAATTCATTCAGGAACTTGATAAAATCTTAAAAGAACAGGGGAAAATATTTTATACTATGATCCTTCAAAAGCTAGTTAATATTAACGAAGAAATCGGGTGCAGTTCGACAGTGCCTATATGCAACATACCAATGATAGTAGTGGCAGGATAGTAGATAGCAGTAGCAATAGTAGCAATATCAGCAACAGTAATAGTAACAGTAATAATAATAGTAGCAGGAGTAGTAATAGCAGTTGCAATAGTAATAATAATAGCAATAGCTATAAAAACAATAACAGCAATAATAGTCACATTAGTAATAGTAATAGCTGGAGCAATAATAACAGTAATAGTAATAGCAATAAGAACAGAAGCAATACTATTAATGATAACAATAACAATAGCAATAACAAGTAATATCAATGACGACAACAATGACATAAGCAATTAAATACAATAACGTTAGCAGTAGTAATTGTAAAAACAATACTAAGAGTAATAATACTAGTAGTAATAAGTAATAATAATAGCAACAGCTATAGCAACAACTATAGCAATAAAAACAGTGACAGCAATACTAATAATAATAACGATAGCAACTACAATAACAATAGCCATGCCAATAACATAAGCAGTAACGACAGCAACAGTAATAGTAGAAGAAACTCTAAAAGTAGTAACACTAATACTAATAATAATAGCAACAGTTGCAGCAACAGCTACAGTAACAGATGTAGCAATAGCAATAGCAATAGCAATAGCAATAAGCAATAGTAATAATAATAACTATAGTAGCAGTAGTAACGGCAATAAAAATAATAATGGCAATAACAATAACAATAGCAATAATGTAAACAATAACGATAGCAATAGTAATAGTAAAAGCAATACTAAGAGTAATAATACTAATAGTAATAGTAATAATAATAGCAACAGCAATAGCAATAGCAATAGTAACAGCACTAACAACATAACAGTACTGCAATGTAATATCCAATATACAAAACCTAGAACACTAAATAATAACAATGTTGTTGTTACTAGTAATAGTGTAGTAACAGTAATAAGGAAAATAGTAATAATAGCCGTTATAGTGGTTATAGTAACAGTACTAGCAGCAATTGCAATAAAAGTAGTAATAGCGGCAGTAATAGAAATAATAGTAATAGAAATAATAGAACAATAGTAATAGTAGTAATAATAGTAGCAATAATAGTAGTAATGGTAGTATTGATAGTAGTAATAGTGGCAGTAATAGAAATAGTAGTAATAGAAATAATAGAACAATAGTAATAGTAGTAATAATAGTAGCAATAATAGTAGTAATGGTAGTATTAATAGTAGTAATAGTAACAATAGTGACAAATAATAGTAATAGTAGTAATAGTAGCAGTAATAGTAACAGTAGTAGCAGGAGTTGCAGCAATAGTAATAGTAGTAATAGTAGTAGCAATAATAGTAGTAATGATAGCAGTAATAGCAGTAATAGTAGTAGTAATAGTAATAATAGTGACAAGTAGTAGTAACAGTAACAGTAACAGCAGCAGTTGCAGTAATAGTAATAGTAGCGATAGTAGTAGTAATAATAGTAGCAATAGTAGCAGTAATACTAGTAATAGTAATAATAATTTAACGATAATGCAACCTAATACCTAATAAGTAATACCTCTAATCCTACCACCAAAATTATTTTTTACAACATCCCCAAATCGCTAATACCATAAACTCTCCTTATATCACCATTCACAACTAATAAAAGCTAACTATATAGCAACTATTGATTAAAACTCTATGGAAACAAAGATAGAAGTTGAAACTGGAAGACCGTTCAAGTTCAATGTTATGTTCGCCTTATTACCTCATCGTCCAACATCTACCAACAGCATATAATTGAACTATTCTCTACCTTAATTCTTTTAATTTCACTGATGTAATCACCTAGAGAACACAGCGGAACAGACGTGGCAAAAAAAGGAAAAGGTTAAACTACATCGATGACACATCACAAAAGATACTTGGCAATAATTCGTGGCGTGTTTGGATCCACACGTGTGGGTGTAATTCTGTGTTACACTAAACGAGCTTGATACGTAAGTGGACGAAACGTGGGTGTAATAATACGGGCCATTAATGCAATTACCTTTACCTTTTGCTTGTCTACATTTCTTGTGAATTCTTCACACCTCCTATCCATTAATAGATCTCGTGTCCGAAACAGTTTCAAGAATAATTGAAAAAATAAATAAAACGTGTACACACAGATTTTATGCCCGTCGATATTACAGATTTTATATCTCCCGGATATTTGCATAAAAACAGATTAAAATCGACGGTACAGAAACATAAATATAACAAATTCTGGGCGGAAAAAAGCTTGGCCGAAGAGCAAATATTTATTGCCAGCAGAGTGTGCTATTCTTCCCGATTTATATTCAAAATTGGGAAACTAGGATGTAACAGTATAAATAAAAACGTATGGAAATTCGAGCGAATAACCGGTTCTGGTCAAACACGGGCTACACACGTTTTGCTCAACTTTTATTCGCAGTTTAAAAAGAGGACAGAAAGGGATTAAAAGCAGTAACGGAACGAGCATTAAGCTAATTGACGCGAAGCTTGCTCATACCGCTATTAAATCACTTTTTGTGAATGGCGCAACAGTCTGACAAATGTTTCCAGCTTTTCCGAGCGGACACGTCGCAAATCTCGCGTGAAAATGTGAACGGTATCTGTCGCAAGCTGTGCAATTAAATTTCCGGGGAAGATTCAAATTGTAACTCAATGCCCGCCGACGAAACTGGAGGAGTATGTTTCACTGGAACCACTCTAAACTTCTCATCAAAATATTGAAGCTGTCTTCTGCGAAATATGATCAACGCACTGACCGATTTGGGTAATGTTCTGAGTATGGTATCAAAATCAGATATGTGGAATAGCGGTTATGTTTCTTATTTTTATGGATGATACTTTTTGTGGATGAAATTGTTGTCAAGTAAAATCTTCTACTTGTTTAAAATTTTCAAATTTGCAAATTTCTAATTTCCAAGTTTCATATTTTTCAATTTTTCAAATTTTCAAATTTTCAAATTTCTAATTTCCAAGTTTCCAATTTTTCAAATTTTCAAATTTCTAATTTCCAAGTTTCCAATTTTTCAATTTTTCAATTTTTCAATTTTTCAATTTTTTAAGCTTCCAATTTTTCAAATTTCCAAATTTCTAGATTTACCGATTTTCGAATCTCCAAATCTTAAAGTTCTTAATTTGCCAAATTTCCAAATTTTCAAATTCTCTAATTCTCAAATTTTCAAAGTCTCCAAATGTAGAGATATACTCAAAATATATCTTCCAAATTGTAGATCCTCAAATTCTTAAATTTCCATATTACTAAATTTTCAAATTCCTATGCCCCAAAGTCCTATGTCATCAAAGCCCTAAATCTTCAAATTTGTAAATCCCAAAATTTCTAGATTCATATATTTCAATTTTCCGAGATTCCTAAATTTCTAAACTCCCAAATCCCTAAATTCACAAATTTTTAAATCCTTGAAGTACCTATATTTCCAAATTCCTATACTCCAAATTTCTTGGTTCATAAATATCATGTCTCTAAATCTGTAGCAGATCTCTAAATACTCATTTCTCCAAGGCCCAAAATTCATAGACCTCCATAAGTCCCCAAAACTGATAGTTCCACAAACAGATAGTTCCTTTCCTCCTAGTTCCTACATTTTTCATAGAAAAACTCTTTTGATATTAATTCCTATAATTGCTCTTTTACTATAATTTATCAACGTTCAAAAGTCCCGACATAGATTTAACCCCCTGTATTCGGAGGTATTTTTCCTGTTGCCAAAAATCAACTTTAAAACTTGTTAGTCAAAACTTTTGCTGAATTTCTGAAAGATTACTACTTCCAAATATTATTAATTGTCTTTTCCACTATGTTTTGATATATTTATACATCATATATATACTATAGATTTAGTTAAAAATATTTATTTCAAATTGTTGTATTAAGCTGAATGGTAAGCCTGAGTCACCCTAGGCAAGGGTTAATCAAAACTGGAGATTCACTTAGAAGTAGCAGTTGATTTGAGTATATAATAGTAATAAGAAATTAGTAGAATATAAGAATACTAATATATAGTACCTAGTATCTAGTACATAGTACATAGTACCTAGTAGATAATACATAGTACATAGTACCTAGTACATAGTACATAGTTCATAGTACATAGTACACAATACACAGTACACAGTACACAGTACATAGTACATAGTACATAGTACATAGTACATAGTACATAGTACATAGTACATAAGAGTAATAAGAAAAGAACTTACCTTGATCGGCTACGAAATCGGTGATGAGCAATGTCTCGTCGTCTAGAGCAGTGACGAGGCTGTCCGTGCAAGTGTTCGTGTTCTCGATGCTGATCTTGATGCTGTCATCTTTGTTAAGCCGTGGATGATTGTTCGCGGCGGGGTTATTACCGGCGTGGCAGTTATTATTGTTGTTATTATTATTATTATGGTTGCTGTTGTTGTTGTTGTTGTTATTGTTATTGTTGTTGCCGGCCTGCTGCTGGCCGAGGTGGTGATGGGGTGAACGAACGGATTCTGTGCTGCTGGTGTGCAAACTGACCCCTGTAGTTGCCCTTCCGTTCACCAAACGTAAACTTGGTGCCCTTCGACCGCCACCTCCTCCTCCTCCACCCCCCCCAGCGTTCGTCACAGAACGGCCGCCACCTCCGCCACCCTCGCCCTCCCTGCAATCACAATCGATTATTTCCTTAGAATTTTTATTAACAAATTGCTTAATTATTATTTGCAATAACAATTCATCAGTTACACCGATTTATAGAGGGTCACTGTAAGGTGCATCAGGATTTAAACTTTAATAGTCACACTGGGGTATGAAACGACCGCAGAGAATTTAGCTTCAGTTTTAGTCATTTTATAATCCGAAAATCTGAATAAATTTCATTATCATTTAAATTACATTTTCATCATTATATTTCGAGAGGGTTCAACTAAAATTTTAGCTCTTGAAATGGAAAGAAGTTTTGAATTTTTCTGTGAAAATTGTCATTGTTTCAAATTTTTTGTTATATTCAGCGTTTATATTTATTGAAATCGCCTGTCAAATATGTTAAAACAACTTGCAAAAGTTATTTATAATTTTTTTCTGGTTAAAATAATGAGTAGCTTCTTTGTAAGAAACATTTTTAGTGACTGGGGTCTTAAAGGTTCCAATGTGCTAGGGATGTTATTCTGATGAAGTGTGGTGACCGTTAAGGGTTAATGGCCACATGTTAGTTTATGTATTGAAATAAGAAAAAAATGTTCTATAAAAAGTTACATTAATTTCGAGGTATAATACTATTTTTGCATTTATTATTTTGCATAAGAGAAGTTAAGTGGGATATTATGTTACTTATTTTACAGAAAAATACACCATCATTGTAGACTGAAAATACAACTTTCTTTTGTTATCATATTTAAGTAAACAAAATGTATTTTCATGTTTCATTTATGTTCGAACACTAGTACATTTTCTACAAGCTAGTAATACTTAGAAGCCATTTGAACTATGCGATAAGATATACAAACGTGTAGAGTATAATTCTGCTTCAATAGAAGGTTGTGTTTCGAAACGTAACTAAAAAAATATGCGACGGAAAAGAAAAAATACCAGATTTGACGAGAGACTTGTAATTTATTATTGAGAGGAAGGCAAAACTTAGTAAAACTAGTTAGTAAAGAAGAAAAGTACAGTAGCAAACAATATTAAGAGTTATATGTTTATATCATGCGCATGCGCAGTATGTAGTGTGCGCATTGTAGTGCTGTGCAATTAGCTTTAATGGTTTATCCTGAGAGTGGAAAGAAAATCTGAAACTTAGAATAATGAGAATAATGCAAAAGAACGGGTATAATGGTTGAAGAGCAAGAAAATTGTACCTTAATAACATAAATCGGAAAAAAGACTAATTTTCGCCGGAGAATTTGTTGCAAAAATCTCAAAATTGGTAAAAGGATGTTATTTTCGCTATAAATATTGTATTTTTGGGTTTGGAAAAAATATTGTATGGCAAAGTTTCAAAGCCAAAAAATCTGAAACCTACTTCAAAACACGGAGGACGTTCTGTGATTGTATTAGGGTGCATTTCCAATTCGGGCGTTGGTGAGTTGATGTTTATTAACGATATTTTTAGATAACATTCTGTATCCTCTTACAGACGCAGATAGCTCAAATTTGATTAAATTATCCTTCCTGATTATAATACCGAATATATTTCTTTTTTATTTTTTCTTGCGAACATTTAAAAAATCTCTGGTTTACGTCGATACTGACGTAACTAAAAGAATATAAATTTTAGAGGAGAAATTAATTAACATTTTATGGAAATATGTTTAAAAATCATTAAATAATTAAATTGATGTGCTTGATATATGGTTGTAAATTAGTATCAATTATTTATTGATGAGATCTTCGCTATTTTCAGTTACTAAACGCTTTACTTAAATCAATTAAGTATTTTTAGAATTTGAAGCTTTTTAATTTAACTTGTAATAATTATTACCTCACATATTTATGCAAACTAAAAAAAATGTATTTACACATATTTCGACTTATTATTTTTTATAACTTATTCAAAATTCTTTTGTACAGCAACGGATTTAAACGGATATTTATTAAGAAAAAATTATGAATGATAATTTATTGTAATTTATTTAACTTAAAGTGCCGGAATAAATGAATATGTAAATAGTAAGTGTATAGATAATCGGTAAACGTGACAACTTTATGTACACTATTCGAAGAACAACGCGTGATTGACTTGTTTTTCAGATATCGGGGATTATCGGAAGATTTAGAACCGACGTTGTTTGTAAACAACGGTAGGATTATGTCATAGATTGACAGATACGAAAGTTTTGTTTAGATTTTCAAATTTGGAATTTTGCAACTTTGGAATTTTAGAAATTTCAGATTCTTGTACTTTTAAATTCTACTAACATTATTACTATACATATTGCTTTATGTATTATGTATATTAATATTAGTTTTATGAAAATAAATTAATAGTTGGCAGAAATGATAAATAATAACAAATAATATGATCAATAATAATTAATAGTAAATATTGTTTATAGCAATAAATAATAATATAATTTTTAATAGCAAATAATAATTCATATAACCATAGCCTTAAAAAAAAATACTACTATCGTGCTATTTATTGTTACCAACAATTACTATCAATAATTTAATTTCTGTTAAAAAACACTTTTTATCAAATTACTCTAAGTACACGAGTATCCCATTAAAAGGAACATCTTGTATAAAATGAGCTTTAAATATTTTAAGCGTGTGGGGTCCCTGAAGGTCTTAATCCGGCGCTGAACGCGGGCCATCTCGTCAGCGTTTAATAAGTAATTAAGCAAAGACATCAGGGAACGGAATCTTCCGATTAATTCGAGCGACGGCGATACAGTTAAAGGATGAATCTGGTAAGAGGGAACAATTTGTCGAGGGCGATAAAACGAGGCGATAAACGGGTGTCCAGAATCGCAAGGACGATTTCATTCGAGATGGAAAGATTAAGAAGTGGAACGCGCCTCGAGGACGATTTTGCAAACGAGTCGCGTTAGCCAGTTTTCAAGGGTGGCTATTCGAACGTTCAAACCGCAATATGTATACTGATTACAATTAAGATATAACATTGTTCCTTTGTCGACGACTTTTCTAACGTTGCCACACTGAGGTACTGGGACATTTCGTTACGTAGTTAGTTTTGTTTTCAACAAATCTCACAGAACAATTTCGTGATATTTAGATTATTGGAGATGCAGTTAAATATAACGATAAGCCGTATGTATGTAGATCGCGCTAGTTCGGTGCAAATCGGCAGCGTTCGGGCTTCTTCGGCTTCTGCCGAACGTCTCCGAATCTTTCACTCCTTTTTGTAATAGCGTCTATTCTTTTAACGCGTGTTTGAATAAATTCTCTTTTACAATAAAGTTTTTCTTGTGTATTAGCAACTTGCAGTCCTATTGCTAAGTTTTAAATAAGAATATGGATTTATTTATAACCAAACAAAGGTACGCACATATGTAAAATTATTATTCATATTTTATATGCAGGTATTTTGTTATACTGATAGACTTTCGCCATATTGCCACAGTAGATACAGTTTTAATATATGTATCTAATGCAATATAATATATAAATACAGTGTACTATATGAGGTGCAGTGTACATATAATGTTACAACGAGCGTTAAGATTTATTTAGAGTATACCAAAGGTATTTCTACCCATGGTTACTGATATTTCACTGCAAATGAAAACTGACAACGACCGGGATATAATTTACACAAATAGCCTAAGCGATTCAAGTTTAGAAGCGTATTTTTGTATCTACTGGATCGATTAAATGAGATCTAGCAAGGTAATTTTAACAGCGAATCAATTCTTCATGCTGTCAAATAAAACCAATATTATCTAAAATTAAATATAAACTTTGCCGATGTAAGGAAGTACTATTGTCAATCAGTGAATTGAATTTTTAGAATGTACACTGCGGTTGCCATATTTTGTGTTTTAAACCTGAATATAGATATTAAAAACTATGTGAAGTATGTAGTAAAAAATTTTATGTGCGGTTAATACGTGTAGTGATAGTGGAATTTGTACACTTTTTAAAGATAGAAATTTGAAGACTGAATTTTTATGATTTTAGAGATTTTTGGTTTCTTGAATTTTTGGTATTTTGGTTTTTGGATTTTGCGATTTTGGGCTTTTTGAATTTTAGGTTTTTTGGATTTTTGTTTTTTGAGTTTTCTGGATTTAAAAATTTTTGACTTTTTGGATTTTGGAATTTTTAGTTTTTGAGTTCCTGGATTTTGAGGTTTTTAACTTTTTGGAATTTTTAGTTCTTGTTTTCTGTGTTTTGAAATTTTTGACTTTTTGAATTTTAGGTGTTTTGGTTTTTGAGTTTTCTGGATTTTGAAATGTTTTACTTCTTGAATTTTGGGTTTTTGGAATTTTTAGTTTTTGAGTTTTCTGGATTTTGAAATTTTCGACTTTTTGGATTTTGGGATTCTTGAATTTTTGGATTTCATGATTGTTGGTTTTGTAGATTTTGGGATATAAGGATTTGGACATTTTATGATTTTGAGAATTTGGAATTTTAGAATTTATTAATTTGGAAATTGGGAGCTTAGATATTTGAAAATTTAGGGATTTGAGAATTTTGGAATTTGTAGTTTTGGTAATTTAAAAATTTCAGAATTTATCAAATTTAAATAATTAGTAATTTGAATATTTAGAGGGTAGGGCTTATAAATTTCAAAAACTCAGAGATTTGAAAATTTGAAAATTCCTAAATTTCACAAATATAAAATTAGAAAATTTCGCTATTTAAAAATGTAGAAAATTGCAATTTGGAAATTTAAGAATTCAAGGTTTTAAAAACAGAAATTTGCAAACAGTGTATTAAAAAATTTCAATATTAGAAAATTTAAAAAATGAAGAATTACATTATTTGCAAATTCCGAAGTTTGCAGACATGAAAATTTGTTCCTAAAAATTCATTATATGTTCAAACATAATAAACATGTGTATACAATAAAATTCTCAAAATGTATCATTAGTTCTTCACTAAAAAAAAGAACATGAAGATCACAATGTAATGAAATGTTGAATATCCAATTTCACAAGTACCGAGCAAGCTTAGATGTATTGGAAGGGCTTCACATTA